GTTGCATTGTGGTAAACTGAGGTCAATGACATAAGACAAAGTATATGTGAACTGCTGTATGGAAAGTGAATTTGCTCTGTAAATCTTCACCCATATCACAATAATAATAAAAAAAATGGTTCACAGACCTAAATGTAAAAGACAATACTATAAAAATCTTAGAAGAAAACATAGGAGTAAGTCATCATGACCTTAGATTAGGCAATGGTTTCTTAGACAATGACACAAGTGACAAACAAACAAAAAGATAAATTGGGCTTTGTCAAAATTAAAGACTTTTTTGCTTCAAAGGATGCCATAAAGAAAGTCAAAAGATAACTCAACTTGAGAGAAAATATTTGCTAACCATATATCTGATAAAGAACTGATATTCTGAACATATAAACTGTTAAAAGTCAATAATAAAAAGACAATCCAATTTTTAAAATGGGCAAAGGATTTGAAGAGACATTTCTCCAAAGATTTCAGTCCCTAAGAGTCTGGCCAACACAGAGAAGGCTGATTCCAAGCAGTATTTACCTGGGCTGAAGGCTATGGGTGTGGGGCTGGAGAGAAGCCAGGCAGTAAGTACATAACACTGGGCCTTCCAACTGATGTGAAGGGAAGATAACCCTAACGATCTTAGTCATTCATTCCTATTTACAAATAAAGAACTGAACTGATTCATGGGGCTGGCTAGTGTGAGTTTCCTCTGCTGTTTGTCTTGGACTGTTTTTCCCAAAGGTCCCTTCTTCTTAGGAGATTCTGGCTAGCTGTGTACTCTGAGGCTGGAGCACTCACATATACTCCATTCCTTGGAAGAGAAGTCCTGCACGCCTACACCTACTTACTCAGAGGACACTCACATCACCAGCCTTATATAAAATCAACTTCCATCTCCATTCAAAAGCCAGAATGGACACCCAAGGATCACTTGATATACAAGCAAATCCAAAAAGTGAAGGAGAGGATTACAAACCAAAATCTGATGTTGGAGGAAACAGAAATTCATTTCCTCAGTAGAATCTGAGAGGTTATGGCACCCATAAGGAGCTCTGGTAGCGTAGTGCTAAGGCACTTGACTGCTAACCAGAAGGCTGGTGGTTCAAACCCACCAGCCACTCCTCAGAAGGAAGGTTGGGCAATCTACTTCCATAGTGATACTGTCTTGGTAACCCAAGGAGGGGTCGCTATGAGTCGGGGCCGACTTGAGGGCACATAACAACGACACAACAACATGGCACCCATAAGAATATTACAAACAGAGAACAATCTAAGAACAAAAATGTTGAAAATGAAAAACATGATTGCCAAAATGGGGACACACCACCAAAGACAGAATCAGACCTGCAAGCCAAGGACTCCTCCTTCAACTTGGAGCAGAAAGACTGAGATGAAAAAAAATGAGAAAAATATTTAAATTCATGCAGTATAGATTCAGCAGTCTGGGTTGGATTGTGGTGGCCACTATTTTCGTGGCCCAGCAAACTTTTCCACATGCTTCTTCTGATGACAGACCTTCCTCCACCACCACTAGGGGAGAAAGATGATGTATTTTTTTTTTTTTTTACTGAGGTTATGCTGGGAGTATGTGAGCCTGGAGCTGGTCCTTTCTCCACTGGGCAGAGTGGATAAGGGCCCTTGGCCAGTAGAGGAGAAAAAGGCCAATGAAGAGAGAAAAGCAGAGTTGAGAGTTTGGGCAGGGGTGGGGGTGAGGGTGGGGCTCAGTGGGAAGGAAGATGGAGAATGACAGAGAAGCAGAAGCCCAGACAAAGGAAAATGGTTTGAAACCTTGGAATCAGGAAAGCTCAGTTACACTGTTTTCCCTTTTTTGCCTAAGGCAGTTTACATCTGTGCTTCCATCACCTGCAACTGTAAGCATTCTGATTAACACAAGGTCAGACTTGATGGCAGTGGGTTTGTTGCAGGAACACTGAGAGGAAGGCTTACATCTAAACCCATATTGGCAATCATGAAAAAGCACATTCAAACAAGACAGTGATAGAATATTTTTCTTTCATCAGATGGTTAAAGTATAACCAGATAATATCTAGGGGTCAGATGATATCTATCATTGTGAGAGTGTGGGGAAATGAGTACTGTCATAAACTATAAAACAAACAAATCACACTGCTGTCAAGTTGATTCTGGCTCATGGCAAGCCTGTGTGTTGCAGAACAGAACTCTGCTCCACAAGGTTTTCATGGCTGTGACCTTCTGGAGTGGATCTCAGGCCCTTCTTCTGACGTACCTCTGGGTGAATTAAAATCTCTAACGTTTCTGTTAGCAGTTGAGCATATAACCTTTTGTGCCACCCAGGGACTCCCTCACATACTCTAGGTAGAATATAAGGTGGTACCATCTTTTGGGGGATAATTGAAGAGTATCCATAAAGATTTAAAATACACATTTAAATGTTTTATGATAAAATACAAAGCACATGCAAAAATAAGTATAAAATAAATCTACAGTTTAAAAAAGAAAGAAAAAGTATTATCAATACTTAGAAACCTCCAGTGTGTTCCTTCTAGAATACAGTGGGGTTCATTCACTTAAATATTCCACAATATTCTTTGTATCCATTCTCATGTCGATAAGCACTAATTGTTTCCAGTTTTTCTGTTATTATGAACAGTATAGCTATGACATTATGGTCACATGGTCTCCCACTGCACATGTGCAAGTTAACATATATACTAGTAAATTCTTTACAATATGTTCTACTTTTTATAAATTTTAAACACAGTAAGGCATAAATCACTATGAAAGATGAAGACTGTGATACTAGATATTAATAAATTTAATAACAGTGAAGTACTGGCACATGAAAGACAAACCAAGGGAACATTAGAAAAAGCCAAGAAACAGGCCCAATTTAATATAACTACTTACTATAAGATAATAGTGGAGAAAAGACTGATTGTTAAGTAGATGATGGTAGGACAATTAATAATGATTTAGGCAGAAATTAAGTTAGAGCTCTACCTCAAACCATAGATCAAAATGAATTAAAAATGAATGGAAGAATTAACTGAAAAATGAAACTTAAAAAGTATAAGGATGGTGACTGGTTTATCTCTAGATAGGTAAGGTCTTTGAAATATGAAACAAAGACTAGACTGACAGAATTGACCACATAAAAATTTAAAACTTCTTTATTAAAATGTTAAATAAGATTAAAAGGCAAACAATAAATTGGGCAAAGTATTTTTATCTCATGTAACAAATCAACAGGAAAAAAACCTCAAAGAAAAATGAAAACAGAAATGAAATGGGCATTTCACAGAATAATACAAAAATTCAAATTATATAAAAACATTAATAATTAAAAAAAACACACTAATAATCAAGAGAATGTACATGAAACTGTTTCACAATTTACTTATTAAATTTACAATGACAGATAAATGAGTATAGGTAGTTTTGGTTAACATTCAGCAAATGGATAATCATATATTACTACTGAGTAGAAGCATAAAATGATGTAACTTTTTGAGGGAGGCAATTTGGCAATATATATCAAAAACCTGAATGATACACATGTCCTTGGACAGTCTTTTATCCTAGGGAATGTGAAGACAATGTGTAAAAGGTATATAAGAAATGTGTAAAAGAAAAACCATTATATCAGTATTATTTAGAACAGAAAAAACTGGAAGCAATCTAAATGTGGATACAGGTTAAGTAAATTTTGGTACATATTATGGAATATTATGCAATAATTAAGGATCCCTTGTAGCATGATGGTTAAGCATTCAGCTGCTAACTACAAGGTCAGCAGTTCAAAGAACCCAGTCATTCTGTGGAAGAAAGACCTGGCAATCTGCTTCCATAAATATTACAGCCTAGAAAACCCTATGAGCAATTCTTGTCTGTCACGTGGGGTCACTATGAGTTGGAATAGACTTAATGGTTCCCCAAAACAGTAACATAATAAAACAATTAAAAGTGATGGTGTTGAAAAACAAAACAATATGATAACATACTCTATATTCCAAAAAACACCAAACCAAACTCACTGCCGTCAAGTTGGATCTGACTCATAGTGACACCTCCTTGGGTTTCCAAGGCAGTATCACTACAGAAGTAGATTGCCCAACCTTTCCGAGGAGTGGCTGGTAGGTTTGAACCACCAGCATTCTGGTTAGCAGTCAAGTCCCTTAGGCACTATGCCACCAGAACTCCCAGTGAAAAAAGTAGTTTATCTAGTTATACCTTTCCTATACTGTAAAAGAGGAGCTCTAGTGGCATAATGCTTAAGGCATTTGACTGCTAACCAGAAGGCTGGTGGTTCAAATCCACCAGCCAGTCCTTGGAAGGAAGATTGAGCAATCTACTTCAGTAGAGATACCACTTCGGAAACCCAAGGAGGGGATATGAGTCGGAGTCAACTTGACGGCAGTGAGTTTTTGTTTTTTTTTAAACTAATAAAAATGAATACATATACAATAGGAGGATATACTTCATAATTATTTCTGGGTACTGGCCCATGAGTCATCTTAATTTTCTTTCCTGTAATTTCCGTATTTTATAGAACAAACATGTATTAATATAAATTCTTAGAGAAGGACATCATGCTTGATAAACTAGAGTCAGTGAAAAAGAGGAAGACCCTCAACTAGATGGATTAACACAGTAGCTGCAACCAACAATGGGCTCCAACAGCAATGACTGTGAGGATGGCATAGGACCAGGCAACCTTTTGTTCTATGTTGTATGGGGCTCCTACATACCGAACAACAATGTTATGTTGTTATGTGCTGTCGAGTCGGCCCCTCCTTGGGTTTCTGAGGCAGTATCACCATGGAAGTAGGATTGCCCAACCTTCCTTCCGAGGAGTGGCTGGTGGGTTTGAACCGCCAGCCTTCTGGTTAGCAGTCAAGTGCCTTAGGCACTATGCTACCAGAGCTCCTCCGAACAACAATAGTACCTTTAAATTTAGAAATGTCTAAAAAGAAATCTGTAATTACATATAGTACACCATGAATAAAGTTGTAATGGCTCTCCCCCTCACCCCTTACCTCCAGATCCCGTTTTCCACCTCCAGCTCCAGGATCGTCTGCAGACTCTGGCAGAGCAAGGCCTCGAAGGTTACATTCACATTGCACTCCCCTAGAGGGTGAAGACGGCCGCTCGAGGGCTCAATGTCGAAGAGAGATTCCTGGTCGGAAGGTCAAACCAGAAGGATGAAGATGGGATGGGGGCTTGGAATTGCAGAGGAACTAGGGGCTAAGGGTGGTACTCAACCATGGTTACCACCAAGGTGCCCCAGCTCTTCATAGAGTCATCTAGGATCCAGAATGAGGCAAGCAGATGACTGATTCCAGTTGAATGAGTCTCAGGATTAAGAGGACAAACACTGAGTCTCTAAGCTAAAGCAACAGACAAGCTGGAAGTTTCCAGGCACTGAGAGGGAAAAGGCAGAGCTAGGCTCCCTGGGGGAGTGTGGGGGGCTGAGCTGGCAGGTGAAGGACTGAGCTGGCAGGTGGAAGCTCAGCTCCCCCCTTACTAGGCACACAGACAAGGGAAAGAGCACCTGCACCTGGGGAGGGCCCTCTACACTCCCTTCTTCCTGTCCCTGACTGAAAGGGCACTCATCTGAATGAGTTGTCTCAGGGCCCCAGAAGGCCACACTGGTAGTGTGAGCATCGCTGGACACTGAAAGACCACACCCAGGAGGGAAGTTCTCCTTCTCTTTGGTCTCTCCTTTCCATGAGACACAGTGAGTGCAAGGACTACACCTGACAGAAAAGACCTGACCACCTCATATCCTTTATCCAGGTGTCTGGCATGTAGGTCTGGTCTGCTATCTCTCATCCCTACTCCTCCCACCCCTTACTCCCAGCAGCCTTGGGCCCTATGTTCACGACCCTGGCCTAGAAGGAGGGATGGACTGGCCTTCACTGGAGGCTGCACAGGCCTAACTCTCACACAAAAGAGGGCGCTTTGTGCTCCAGCCTGGCTCTCCAAAGCTCAGGCACTGGAGTTTTGGGCCCCAGCTCAGCTGCAAGCAAAGAGTCACTGTGCTTTCTTTTGTCTTTGCTTTCCAAGTACGCATTCCCTTTGGAGCCCTGGGGATGTGGCCGTGATCTAGGGCTGGGTTTCAGCAGCTCCGGGGCTCCTAACTTAGAGTATCTAACAAACTTCAATCCCAACACTATTTTTTGAGAGCTCAAAAGAATATAGAGGCAGGATTCTTACCAGTCTCAGTTATGACATAATCTTAAAATAGTGTAAGATCGATCGACAATTATTCCAATGATAAAAATGCAGTTAATCTTCATTGTGTGAGAAAAACACAGACTGGGAGTCAAGAAACCAGGATCTGGTCTGACTCCAACCACCCATTAGCTGTGTGACTCTAGGTCTCTTCTCGGGCTCTTGTCAAATGAGGAGATGGGCTAAGGTTCCTGAGCTTCGACCTGGGCTCTGGGAAATCCCAGGGATTCCTCAGAAGTGCTTTAGGCAAGGGATGGGTACAAGGAGAGGCAGGATGGGGCACAGTGTGCCTAGCAAGGGAGTCTCTTGGTGGCCAGAGCAGTCATACTTTATTCTGTATATTGGGCTTCTGCATAAAGTTTCATGATGAAAGGATTCCTGCCTAAACATAACATGAGCACTAAAGATATTGATAATTCTTCAGCTCCAGACTTCTGTGGTTCTAGGATCCAAGCTGGGAAACCAGTGAGCCCTGGGGGTGGGGGTGGGGATGGGGAGGAATCACTAGCTGTTATTAGGACCCCTGGCAATAGTTCTTGGCAATGGTGTTGGTGATTTGAAACAAATGGTCATAACTTCTAAGTTCCAGAGTGTCCAGCTAGAGAGGCAAGGCGGTCAGGTAAAGGACAATGGCTTCTGACTGGACAGGGAAAGTCCTAGACAAAGGAAAAGCATGTTGCCAACTATGATGCATGTGTGGCTACATGTGTCTTCCTCAGCTTCTGAGTATGGAAAGGAAAGTGTGCAAGTGGGTAAGCAGGACAGGGGACCTTGGTAGGAAGCAGGGAGAAGAAGGGTGCTTTCTCTGTACCAGACCTGGCCAGGGTCTCACATTGCAGCAACAACTTGAGGCAGCTCCTAGTGAGCTCCAGCCATCCACTGTGGGGCAGAGTAGTGATTTACATCTAACTGTTGGCAGTTAACCCACCAGCCACTCCTCGGAAGGAAGGTTGGGCAATCTACTTCTGTAGTGATACTGCCTTGGAAACCCAAAGATGGGTTGCTATGAGTCGGGTCCGACTCGATGGCACACAACAACAACAGTTGGCAGTTGGGATCAGCTGGATGCTTTGTGTGTTTCAGATTGCATATTGTATTTAAACGTGATGTCACATAGGGCTATGGTAATCTTTAGCTACTTTTAAGCATTTCTTACGTTTACAGTGAAAGGAGAAGCAGAAGCAGCAGTAAAGGAAGAGGAGGAGAAGCAGCAGCAGCTATTTGAAAGGAAATTCATCTTTTCTTTTTTTGAGCCTTTGGTTTGGCCCACAAGCCCTTGTCCAGGTACCACCTGGTGGCATGTACTCAAACTGCAGGCACAATCCCTAAGAGCATGAGTACTTTTGGGCAGATATGCCCCCTTTCCGGAGGCACGGAACACAGCCCTTGGCAACAGTACCCTTGGAAGCTTCCTGCCCTTGAAAATGCAGCTCTCCATTTTCTTCCTAATGCAGGCTGCTCTGAAAGAGGGACATAATCATGTCTTATTTGTACATCAAACGATGGAGAAAAGAACAGGAAAAACAAGTGTGGGGCTAAGTATAGAAGGGACCCCAATAGCCTCCATGATGGGTAGGATTGAGTACACTGCCAGGCGAAAACCACCAGACAGGCTTTTCCTCTGCCAGCCTAAAGCTCTGAATTCACCAGCACAAGTTTCACAGTTCCAATCTGACACAGCAAAATTGGCTCATGGAGATGGGAGTGGGTTCAGGGGTGTCCCATAGGATGCTGCAGTGCCCGACTTACACTCTCATGCCGTTCTTCAAGGCAGACTGTGCTCTCTTTCATGTGCCATGTGGCTGGGAGCTGGCTGATGTTCTGGATCTGGATGGAGTGTGTAACTTTCTGCTTCAGGCGAAGCAAACCAAATTGAAGGGCTGAGACATTGATGACGAGTACAGGTCCCTGAGACAGGCACAGAGGCCTGTCACTGAGCCACTTGGGAATGGGCTCTATGCCCTATCCTTGTCAGCTTCCTGGGTCCACCCAGCTGCCCAGCCCCCACCCACACTACCTTAAAAGCCGCCTCAATGTGCAACACCACTGGCGAAGGTGAGTCTTTGATTTCACACAGCAGGTCCTGGCTTATTATGCCTGGAACACCCCCAGTAAAGTTCAACTCAAAATCCCTGGCTTCACTGGGCTCTGGGAGAGAGGAGAGAAGTGAGAGGTGGAGAAATGAATCAGGGGTAATATTGTACTGGGGCCGGCTGCAGATGTACAAACTCTGATGGCTTTTTGTCCACTACATGTCCCATGCCTTGGCTGGAGCTGGTCACAGGAAACCATGAGCTCTGTACAGGCCCTTTAACTCTGAAGCCTCCTCCCTCAGCCAGACCTAGGAAGGCTACAACCCCTCCCACAGTTCCTGCGGTACCTATGATCCCTGTGCAGGGTTCCACTTCAATGATGTGGCAGTCACTAATCTTCTCCCACATGTATCTGATGGGTGACTTGCTGTTGTTCCACATCTGAAAGACACAGCACAACCTGGACTGCCGACACAGCCCTTTCACATCAAATCTGCACCTGCTGAAGGACTGTGGGATTGCAGGCTCACCAAGGGTCCACCTGACCCTTGGTGAAGCAGTTCATTCCTGGCTCATGGCAGCCATGGACTTTTCAACCCGGTAGCAGCCTCAATCCACAGTTCAGGGCTTGTGGGCAGAGCTCTGGAAGGCATATCCTGCCAAAGATATGTGAGGACAGGAATGGGCTCCACAGCTGTCTCTCAGGGGATTCTGGGAAGCTGATAAAATAAGAACAACATGCCTGGCCCATTCATCTGTGCAAATCAAGTTTGGTTCAAGGACTTGGGGATAGCCTCAGCCTCCTTGCAGTGGCTGCTGTCATCTGCCCCTCCAATTATCTCCTTCTCACACTTGGGCCCAAGGTCAGCAACACCTTGGTCAGGCCAGGGTAGGGAGAGACCTACCTTAAAATCTTTCTTCACGTTTATGCCAATGTAGTTCTCTCCAGGGATGATGAGGGCATATGGCTCCAAGAGAACCTGGAAAGGTTCTGCTGAGCCTTTCACCTCGATTTCCAGGACAATCACATCATCCATGGAGTATGGGGCATCCTCTAGGTTCTGAATTTCTGAACTGAACACAAAGCCACCATGAGCTAGCAGCCAGCACAGCCTGGGAGCATGTTCCTGCATATTCCTTGCCTCTGTTCCACATCTTTGGTGTTCTTGTGAAAAGAAAATGCTCTCCTACCCACACATCCCTAAAATCAGAGGCATCTGCCTATGATCTGAAAGGGTGATACAAGCCTATGGCTGAGACAGCAGTTCAGCCTAAGGCCTAGGACAGGGACACCCCCTGCTGTCTTTAGAGACCCCACTGGAGAGATCCCAGCCTGGGATCTCTGTACAAGGGTGACAGAGACCCACCCTGATGGTTTATTTATGGATGAGCTGGCGGAGACACCCATCATAGGGCAAAACCATCCCTCACAAGTCACTACCACCTAGGGGCCACCAGCCTGGCTGCTTGGAGGTAGCAATGCTGGAGCTCAGCTCTAAGATTCCTGGGTGGCTTACAGCTCTTGCTGTGAGTCCAGTGAGCTATCTCCTGCATGCTGAGCCCACTCTGGGACAAGGTGCCAGCACAAGGCAAAAGTGGCCCCTCACAAAGGCCTGCTGGGGGTCAGGTTGCTTACTTACCCCTTTTCGGTACCTTCCCCAGAAGCATCCCCATGGGAAGGCAGGCCCAGTTGCCCACCTCTTATCCCAGAGTCTAGTTCCTGCTCACCTCGCAGGCTCCGGGATTTGCTCTAGCACCATCTGGAGCACACTGTGAAAACCTCTTAGCTGCAAGACAAGCATAGCTTCCTGAAGACATGGTTGTATTCCAGCCAGGCTGTCCTGAGATGGCTGGATCCATGGCAGGAATTCCTCCCCTGCTTGGCTTAGCTACCAGAAAGGCCTTTAGGAAGACACAGTGCTATTTCCCTGCCCACTTTTTCCCCACCTTATGGAGAGAGGGGTGGCTGCCAGGATCAGAGGCTGGAGCTGCCATAGTTTCAAGACTGGTGTGCCTACCTTAGCTGGATCTGGGGGACAGGAAGGAAAGGTCCTCCAACCTCAACATTACCCCATTGGTAGGGCCTTCAATGTGTCTGAAGAACCACACTGTCTCAGAACAAAGAGGTATCTGGTGATTGGTTTGAGAGGCAGACCTGCTCACCTTAGTCCCAAATCCACTAACAAGGGCCCCTAAGCATCCTTCTCACATCCAGTTCTCATTTCCCTCTTGCTATTACACAAAGGGTTTCCACTCTGGATAGGGAGCTTTGGTAACCTCTCCCTGGGAAATGTCACTCTCTCTAGGGGCTGCTGATGTCTCTGTTACAAGAAGAAATAGAGAAGACACCAGAGCTGAGGAAACAAGCCCAGGCTCCTGCTGCAGACAGGATATGCCTGTAATCAGGACCAGACTAAATTAGCTGCTTCTTCCTGCAACCAGGTACATCCTCTAGCCACTTTCTTAGCTAAGTGCCAGACTCAGTGGGATGGTAGTATCTCTTCAGGTCCAGTTATAGCTTCAATTTAATTAAAGAATATGGATGGAGGATTAAAACGTTATGATTCATTCATGTATGGTTACCAGGATGGCCCTAATTTAACCTCATGAGGAGAAAAGCTCAGGATGAACTCATGGTCCGTGTGGGGATTAAGAAGCCCCTTTTCAGGCATGATGGAGAAGGCTGTCTCCAAGTCAGGGTGGCACTTGATACTGTCCATGCTGTAGGCTTCTCCTGGCATCAGGGGCTTCAGGTTGGGCTTCATGATCTGCCAATGGAAGGCCAGCTCCACGTGCCTGTGGGGGGAACCCTGACAATGGGCATAGGTCAAAGACCAGGTCCCAATTTGGCCAGGACCAGGTCTTTCCACCTCATGCCTGGTCTGGCCCTATTCCAAGAAGGAGAAGGAAAGGGCCCAGAAATAGGAAGTGACTAGGTCACTTTTCATGCCCTTTCCATGGAGCAGCTGGGGGGAACATAGGTAAGGGATAGCAGGTGGGTCAGGAAGTCTAAGCTGGAGACCATGAAAGAGAGTCCTTAGCATCTGGAGGGTAGAGTATAGTGATTCAGGGGAAAGAGTAAACCAGGGAATCATGTTCCATTCATTAAACTGTGGGGGTCTAGAATCTCTCTAGATGCCAGGAAAAGCTTCCATAGTGTTTCCTATCATATGAGAAGTTCAAAGATTTGCTATATCAACTCTACCCTTACCCTCCACAGCTATTGTCTCCCAGAGTAGCCCTGCCTAGAAAGATAAGTGACCACTGGGTGCCAATAGGAACAGTGACAACACCCCATGGTGTAGGGAGGGGCAGGACTCTGGGCATGTTGCTGACAGGCAGTTGTCAGGACAGCCAGATAGCTGCTGATCATTCCAGATGACAGAATCCTGTGTAACCTTGAGGTCACCAGGCCAGCCCTGGCTCAGAGGCTCCCTGAGGTTTGTCCTGGTATAATGATGGTGCTCAGAGGATGGTCAGGAAATAATGGCAGTGAGAACTGAACCCACAGGCTATAGTCTGCCCCTGGAACTTGGATAGTAAGGGCAGGGCCCCTTTGGGAAACTGTTCCTGGCTACAGATGGCCCTGGATGGCCTAGATCAGCACTGTCTAACCTAATCTCCTGTAGTAATGGAAATGTTATATATCTGCGCTGTCCAGTAGTAGCCACAAACCACTATGAGGCTATGAACACTTGAAATGTGGCTAGTGTCAGTGAGAAACTGAATTTTTAATTGTATTTAATTTTAATTTTAATAGCTACATATGGCTAGTGGCTGCCATACTGTACAGTGAACATTTGGATTCATCCATTCTGTACCTATACTCCTCCCTGGCGCTTGGAAAGAACCTCCCTCCTCACTGGGAACTCAGGGCCTGGTGAAGGGGGAGAAGGAATATGTGTTGGGAGGTGTTGTACAGGGGTCACTCACGTAATATTTCTAATGATCAACTGTTTCTTAGCAGTAGACCGAAGGTTTTCAGGCTCAAAGCGTATGAAGTGCTGGGCTGTTAAGTCTGTGAGCTCTCCAGGCTCTGGTTGACTATCTTCACCAGAAACATAGATCAGCTCCAAAGCAACCAGCTGCCCTATTCCTGACAAAGTAGGGTAGTAAAGTTTAGGATGAAAGCCCAGGGCCAAAATCAGGACTCTGTGGCCAAAGGCTAGCATGGACCCAATGCTATCATCCAATGCAATAAGGCTGGCTTCAGCCTTCATAGAAGCCCCCAATAACTTCCTAGAGCCATCTCCCACCATTATCTCCTGAAGTGCACACAAGAGGGGATGGGAGGGTGGCATTAGCATAACCCCACAAAGATTTACAACCCCACACAGATTCACATTCCTTTATCTTTGTAGACCAAAAAGAGGTGGTTTTGAGAATCACATAACAGGCACTCAATTAATGTATGCTGAGTAAAACTAGAGGAGTGGGTGGATGATGGGTGGGTAGATGGGTGGGTTGAAGGAAAGAAAGAAGGAAGGAGTATGAGCATCTTAGGGAAATTCAGCAGGATGCTCCTTCTAACCCTGCAGAAGCTAGAGGTGCCTATGTGTTGTTTATGTGTAAGTCATTGGCAATTCTCCAAAAAAGATCAAGATCAAGGGGGGTTTCAAAGTGAAGCATTGAGAGTTCACCCAGGTTTCCATCTGTTTCTCAGTAGCAATTTCCTTGGGATTGTCCTGGACGCTACACTGGCTTGGGAGTCTCTGAAGTTTGACTAGTACGAGGGGCCCAAAGCTAGACCCCAAGGCCCAGAGGCTATAGTAGCCCCTCAATGCGCTGTCTGACACAGAGTGCAGCTATGTTGCTGCCAACACTAGTGCATTAGCTCCTGGAGCAGGGAGGGGAGTGGAAAGCAGGGGTATCTACTCAAGCCCTATCCCTGGAAGCGCACACAAGCCCACCTACGGTCACCAGCTCCTTTGTCTGGCAGTTGTCGCACACGATGACGAAGGCCTGCTCTGCCTTTTCTAGGCTCATTGGGAGGAATAAGACCTGGGGGAGAGAAGTGCTGCTCTGTTACCTCCCATCAGCAGGCTCCCACCTCCACTTTCCATCCTCCTCTTCTACTATCCTACCTTTGCTCTCCATCTTATGCTTCCCCCCACCCACACATTCCCTTCTAGACACCTGAGGCCAAGGGGTTTCTGCCTAGGCTCCACTTCAGAGTCATGTGGGGAACATGTTGAAAGGATATGAAGAGAAAGTTAACAAAGAAGGAAATAAAAATAGCCTTTAAACAAATGACAACAAATTCAACTCATATTAAAAGAAAAATCACCCACCAAAATCCAAACCCACTGCCATCGAGTAGATTCCAACTCATAGCGACCCTATAGGACACAGTAGAATTGCCCCACAGAGTTTCCAAGCCTGTAAATCTTTACAGAAGCAGACTGCCTTATCTTCCTCCCACAGACTGGCTGGTGGATTCAAACTGCCGATCTTTTGGTTAGTAGCCAAATACTTTAACCACTGTGCCACCACAGTTCCTTAACAACCACCCTGAAGAACCATTCTTCACAGTAATCATACTGGCGAAGAGTCAAATGTAATGATAAGATGTCTTGAATTTTCAGAGTAGGGATTGGGTGGGGGAATGAAAGGGTGAAGACACAGGAAGATGGGCCAAGAGTCGATAACAGTTAAAGCTGGGTGATGAGTACATGGAGGATCATTAGCTATTCTCTTTACTTTTACATACCTCTGAAAATGCCCCTACCAATTTGTTTGTTTGTTTTTAAGGTTGATAACACATGGTATGGAGCTCTGGTAGCATAGTGGCTAAGACACTTGCCTGCTAACCAGACGGCTGGCGGTTCAAACCCACCAGCCACTCCTCGGAAGGAAGGTTGGGCAATCCTACTTCCGTAGTGATACTGCCTCGGAAACCCAAGGAGGGGTCGCTATGAGTCAGGGCTGACTCGACGGCATATAACAACAACAACAACAACAACACATGGTATTGGCAAGGGTGTGAGAAAACAGGCACCCTCACACGTTGCTGGTGGGAGCATAAATTGGTAACATTTTCATGGAGGGGATTTTGGCAACATGTATTAAATTATGAAAGCACAGACTCTCCAGCCAGCAAATCTACTTTAAGGGCTGTATCCTATAGGTAGAATCATACTTGCATCAACTGAAGTATGTATAAACTATTCAGTGAAAGAGCCAAAAATCAGAAAAACATCAGTAGAGGACTGCTGAACTAAATTATGGTTCATACACACAGTGGAATACTAGCAGCTATAAAAAAGATGAGAATGATTTCTAAGATACATGTTAAGTGGAAACAGAGCAGGAAGTGATTTGCATAAAGGGAAAACATAAGAAAAGGAAAAGAAAGCCATGTATATTGCTTATTTAGGCCTAACACACCTCTGGAAGTACACTCACAAACTGCTAAGGTTGTGGCTTCTGGGTTTACCTATTTGTATCATTTAAATTTTTAATCATGTGGATTTATTCCTCACTTGGAAATATGAATAAATGTTTAAAATAAACAAACAAACAAAACCCAAATTAACTAGCAAGCAAAATAAGGAATGCAAAGGAGAAAAACCTCTCTGTTTCCTCCACTTCCCCAAAGGGTCTTGCTGTTATTCTCTTCTTTTCCTTGGCGATCATAGGAGGATTGAACAAAGGGAAAGTCCTGGGCTGGTTAAGGGTGACCAGTCCCCATGTTCCTTAGAGCCATGACAAGTCTCTGACAAGGCCCAGGCTACTCCGAGGGGAGAGACAGCCTGGCCTGTGTGTGGACCTCGCAGACCCAGCCTGGCCCTCAGCTGCAGGTGAGGACTGTGAAAACCCTCCTGTGTCCCTGAACTGGCCCAGTTCCAACACTAAGAGGCAGGTCCTCATCAGAGATGAAATCAGCACTGACACAAACCAGCCAGCCAAGCTCCAGGGCTCTACAAGTAGATCCCATCAGAACACTTGAAATTGAAAAGGGGCTGATAAAAGGAAGCCTTCCTTTATACCATGGAAGGAAGAAGTCTATAGCCAGGGGATCAGAAGCTCTGGAAAGAGGCCTAAGGAAGGCAGGCCTCACAGACCATATAAATTGAGGACAAAACAGGAAAGGGAGTGGAAAAGGCCACTCTCATCATCCAGACACCAGATAGTGGTGGTGGTGGGTGGGGAGGGTCCAAGAGATACTGCAGAACCAAGGAAAGATCTTGGAGGCAGCTTAGATGTTGATGGAGGTGAGTCCTAGGCTGTAATATAGCCAAGTGAGGCTTCTAGATTGTGATGCGAATGCTAGGGCTTTCTGTGTGTTTGCTTTGTGAGAAAGGTACTAAGACAGTCAAATGTCGCCCTACAGAATGCAAGAACAATGCACCTCCCCATAAACTTCTGAGGCTGGGATAGCTTGGGAATGGACCTTTGGGTCATAAAAACACAGAGGTAAATGAAATCACGTGAACAGCTGAGGAAATACTCATGACTAATCATAACAGGAAGGAACTCTGGTGGCATAGTGCCTAAGGCATCTGACTGCTAAGAAGGTTGGTGGTTCAAACCCACCAGCCATTCCGCAGAAAGACTGAGCAATCGACTTCCATTAAGACTTCCTGCCTTGGGAACCCAATGGGAGTCACTATGAGTCAGAATCGGCTCAATGGTAGTGAGTTGTTTTTTTTTTTTTTTTTTTGGTTTGAATTATAAGATGAAGAAAATATACACAGATGTCTAATTACTTACCTCCAATAATATGGCTTGCCCTGGGGCCAGTTCAAACACTGAAGGAAGGACTCCAAAGGGTGGTTGCTCAACAAAGCTATTAGTTGTCACAGCCTTAAGAAAAGCAAAAGGTTACACAATGATGTGGAAGAAATTATGAAATCCAGTGCTCAAATTGCAAATTTCTCCCTTCCACACATCTATTTTGCAACCTGATGATCTTAAGGTCATCCAGTCCTATATTAATAGAGATACTTAAGGCTCACTCATTCAGCAAGCATTTACTCAGCCTTCACCATGCACCAGGCATGTGATTAGTTCTGAAGGTTAAAGACAAGTAAGTAATAGGGCATCTGTAAAAAAACTAACTGCTAGTAGGAGATACAGGAGCTCTGGTAGTGTAGTACCTAAGGCACTTGACTGCAACCAGAAGGCTGGCAGTTCAAGCCCACCAGCCACTCCTCAGAAGAATGGTTGGGTGATCTACTTCCATAGTGATACTGCCTCGGAAACCCAAGGAAGGGTCGCTATGAGTCGGGTCTTACTCGACAACACATAACAACAACAACAGTAGGAGATACAAGGAATACCATTGCCAAGTGCTCAGATATAAAGTAGGAGGAGTAAGAGAAAGTCTCACAAAGGAGGTGGTGTGAGAAGTCCCTCCTCCATGCTCCCAAAGCACATTGTCCTTGCCCTTACTGATGTACTTTGTATAGTTAGAGTCCACTTATTGGCTGATTCCATTCTCCACCCACTCTTGGCTGTAAGCGCCTGAGTTATGAAGGCAGCTGCCATCTTGCTAGCAAAGCAGCATCCCAGGTATCTATATAAGAAGCCACTTGACATGTCAGGGACACAAACCTATGCCTATAGGACCCTGGCAGGTAATACAAATGAGTGAAATGTATTTCTTAGAACATGTGGTCCTCTGGCTCTACCTCTTGTTTTCTGGAGATGTGGGTACAGAGAAAGATCTCTCCTATAAGAAAAATAATGGTGTGAGCATGATGAGAAATGGTGTCAGTGCTGGGCTGTCAGGGGGACACACAGGGGAGGAGCGCACACAGGGGAGGAGTGCACATGTCCTCCATCCAGATCCAGCCAACAGGGCTGTAATGGAACCCTGGTCTAGTGCAAGATAACTCCCAACCGTTCAGAGATTAAAAATGCATATTTTTATGTGAAATCTCCCTAGTTGTAAATGTTGCCTCAAAAAATGTTTTAACCAGTTCCAGTAAGATGGCGGACTAGGCAGAAAGACTGCACAGACCCTCTTCAACAAAGAAAAGGGAAACCAATTAACACAGACACAGAAGATAATCCTGGACCCCTAAGCCTTGAAG